ATTTAATGAAATCAATAAAAATCCCAGTAATACGCCCTTATGTTATGTTTTGTTTCTTGGTATGGGGGTGTACGCCGGCTTCTGGTGTAACAACTAAGGAATTATAAAATAAAAAAAGCTGCACACCGTTATCCTAAAAAAAGAAATATTCTGATTAGGATGTCATTTGCAGATTGTTTTTTAAATCTTTAGATGTGGAAATATTTGTTAAGTATCGCAATCAAAATTATTCTCTTAAATACCCAGTATAAAAAACAATGGATTCTAATTCAAGTTTTGTTATCATAAAGAAACACCACACGGAATCAGAATTTTAACCACCAATATCTTCTATTAAAATTGCTAAACCAAGTCTAATAAAAATTGACATACGAAAATTTCAATTGTGCGATTGCTACAGGAGAGATTTATTATTCTTTTTTTAAAAATATAAATTGGAAGATTTAAGAAGCTTGGATCAAAGAACGAGTAAGAATAAATAGGAGTCCTTCACTGGTTTAAAATTGCCTGATCTTTCCCTTTTCAATGCAAAAATCGTCACTTTTGCATCTAGTTGTGGTTGATAATATTTACTATTGCTGTTATCTGATTTATTTATCTTCAATATTTAGTCAGTTTGCGTTGTACCTGGTTGGTCCCGAGCCAGCGCCATTTAAATATTTCAAGCTTGTTTTCTTTATATAGCGGCATTCATGGCAAGGAGTTGAGAAATCTGTTGTTGAGCCCGTCTATTTATTCAACTTGACTTTTATTACTGAGTGCCGATGGAGCTTGGCATCCGAGGCTCAAGTGACAAATGTGTATCACGGAAAGTTTTCGTGAACAAAGAAGGAACTATATGCCACTATATGTCCAAAGGATGGATGAATCATAGCTCTATTTTTAAAGCAGATTAATTAAATAAGGATTCAGACGTATTATAAAGACATCGAAGAAACTACGTACGTCTTCAGGCATGGTAACAACTCCTGTTATGGTACTTACATACACAACTAATTAAAAAAAAAAAAATATGCAAAAAATTCGAATGGTATAATGCCTTAAACTGATATAGTTTAACTTAGACGTTTGCACATAACACACGATCACTAATTTAATTTTCTCTCTTGTGTATTAACATTCAAGACTTAAGCTTAAACAAATAAAATATTACATAATTTCAAAATCTAATTTCTTTCAATTCAAGTTTAAGGGACCTAGAATACTCAGCGATGTTAACTACCTTCCAAAATTAAATCCTATCTGACAGTGACCAATATCGAAGTATAGCGATTATTTCATAAGTAATAAATAATACACGCAGGATTCCTTTCCAAAGGATTGAGGTCATCCTTGAACATCTTTAGAAAGTACTAATAAGCAGGAAACGAAGGACATCATTCACATGCCAATCCTGACTGACAGAATATTGAGGAAAATTTTAAAACAACAGAAGAGCACTTATTAAAGCTATTTGGCAAAAATAAGACACGGCGGTTAATAAGGTAGTTTAAGAGCATCTTATCCATTACGAAGGACCGAACGTTTCAAGCGATTAACAACCCAATAAATAAGTTAAGTATGAAAAATATAACTTTCTACTAAAAACAGAATTTTTGACCAGTACTGCTCTTGTAATAAAATTTAAAAAAAAGGGTTTCGAAATAGGATTTCATTACTGCAAGGCCAGGACCGTGAGAAAAGATGGCGGTTAACGAATTATCACGGCCTTACTGTAAAGACCACTTGCATCATGATCATTGCGTCACAATGCTATTGAGGGATAAGGATACGCATAAACGTAAAATGTCTGGGTCTAGACACAACCAGATGTCATCTAAAATAAGTTATGTCTGGGTCTAGACACAACCAGATGTCATCTAAAATAAGTTATCAATAAAATATAGTAGTGGCCACCCGCATCCAATAAGAAAATGAGGTAAAAGTGACTTTAAGAATTTACCATCTTTCAAGGATCAATATGTTATTTAAAACGATATAATAAAATGATCAAAATTTAAAATAATATCTAAAAAACTATAAGCTTAATAGTCTATTAAGAAAAAACCTTGATAATTATCACTATGAAGTGCCTATAAATAATTTTCACAACAAAATAAGATGCAAATAACATAATAAATTTATAAATGGGAGGGTTAGAATGACACCCTGCATTAGAAATGCATATTTTCAAGAAATTGAATATTTTGTAAATATACGTTATTGATGTATGTGTAGTACACATATATTATTTTGAAGAAATATTATGTAAAACAATAAAAACAAAACTGATTTATACAATTAATTATCACTTTAACTCCCTTCTATCACAAAAATTATTAACTAATAATGGATAAATATTTTAAATATCTCGCCATTAAAAAAAAAGTAAAGAACAGGAACGATTTTCAAAAAGTGTAATGAAAATAAAAATTATTACAACAAATCTGTAGAACTGTTCAACTTTTTCCAAGTCAAATTTCTTTTACCTTTCTTTTCTTATGCATTATATCTCCTGCACATAATGATACATACTAAGAACTAACAGAATTCTAGGGATATTCCAGTATCAAAAGAAAATTAAGGTTTACACTACATGGTTAAGTACTTAATATTACAAAATGACAATGAAATGAACAATAAAAAATTAATCGAATGCATGTTAGTAATTAATAATTAAAAACCATTTATATCAAATGTCAAAATTAAATCACAATACTAGAAAACCAACAACCATTTTTAAAAACATCAACCACTTACCAACATTAACTTTTTAGTAACATACAAAGCAGCAGAAATAAAAACTTTAGAATAGTGTTAATAAAACATATTTAAAATACATTTCTAGACAGGTTAAGAAAACAAACATTAATGTCCGCAAAATGTTGATTCATCCTACTAATTATTAAATCAAATACAAAATCATTCTACACAGCACTATAATGTTATTACAATCTTGAAAGAAAGGAGAACATAAATTATACAGTTTGCAAAATGCATTTAAAGAATATTATAACTTCTGATTTAACTATACATCTTGTTTCTCAGTTAAGTCAATGTAAGTAATCTCATAGTAAAAGATAAATATATTTTTAGGAGACAATTCTTTAAAAATTAAATAATTCATGTTTCTAATGATTCATTAATCAATAGCAAAATGGCCATATCAAAGCACTGAGTTTAGTTTGATAACCAATAAATAATAATAAAATATTCAATTATTGAATCACTAAAAACAGATGAGAAAATAACATTACTAAAATAATCTTTAAAAAAAAACACAACATATACTATTATACCTACTTTTATATTATTTACCTCAGCTGCATTCTAGATGATTATGAACAACATAGTAATATTATAAAAACATTATCATCAGTTCCAAATTATTATTTATAAATAAAATAAAATAATTATTATCTCTGTATTATTCTAATCTTGTTTCACATAACCTCAACTACTTAACAAGGAATGACAAGAAAGATTAATTATTTGTCAATTGTGAATCAGGATCACTGATGAGTAATCGTTTTTGTTTCTTTTATCTTCAAGTATAAAAATATATTTATTGAAGAAAAAAAAATCAATTTGTATTACCAACTTTTAAATTTTACAGCAGGAAACAATAAATAACAAATGAAAAGCAATATGAATTAAAGATTATTTAATCATTAAAATATAAGAGGATTTAACAATTGTAATAAGTTAATAATTCATCAAATGAACAAGAAAAGCATTATTTACTTTATACTAATCTCAAATTAAAATAAAGAAAGTAAATCCCATACACCATGCAATAGCAGATTGTATTTGATAAAACAATGCAAATAAATAGTTGGAACAAATTGAAATGGATAATAACATATGTATGTTAAGGATAAATCTACATTGCGTTTAATAAAGACAATGATGTGAAACGTAAATGAGTATTAAAACGTTCCATAGCTCAATGTAAAAATTAAATGGAGTGCAGTCAAACCAAAAGTGCAACAAAATTTAGGTTTATTCCTATTTTCATAGTTATTAATTTAAGAAAACTGTTAATGCAAGCAAGTCTAAACAGTATACAAATTAGAGAAATTATCTTATTATGTATCAATGAACTACAGCATAAATTTTAAATTTAAGTATTTACAACTACGATAGCAGAGGTCCCTAAAGACAATTAGCTAATAACCCAACTAAATGAATATGTTAAAAGATCAAGAAATCTAACAAAAGGTATAAATAGTGCTACTCAAATCAAAACTATGCATAATCACACTAAAACTATAATATCTAAATAGTAAATAAAAGAGAAGGCTTAGAAATAATAACATATACGAAAAATGCATTGTATTAGTTTAAGAAGCCTGTGCATAGAAACTAAAGGATATAAAAAAATATGAAAAGCAGATGTCCTAAGATGGCGTCGCCTACAGCCATAAATAAACATAAACAAAAAGGTTATGTTAACAACTGAACTTAGGAAGGATCAAGAACGAGTAAAATTGTTCATTAGGTAAATTTTAGAAGTTTTAGCAGTTAAAGAGATCAAGTTTTAGAACTCTAAATCCAAAAATAAGAATGGACTTTAAATACTTAAATAGCTAAATCTGCAAGTCGTAAATATAACCATATAAGCCCTCTGCTTAGTCCAAGTAAAACAATATCTTCATTATTTAACCTTTAATACAAACTTCTACAAATGCATTTAAAATTTGTTTACACAACTGATTACATTAAAATACTATAAAAAATGGAAAACCAATTTACGCAGAAACGTCATTTATTGAAAAATTTAACATCATTACAGTGCCAATGGCTCATTGTCTTAATTTAGAACCAAAATGTGAACATATGAATAAAGTTTAACGATGTAGCATAAAATAAAATTGTAACTAATGATTCAACACTCAGTAATAACAAAAATTTATTGAGGGAATGAAACAATCATTATCTAAGACAAAAATATTGTTTGGATGCCACTGAACAATTCATATGTTAAAAGGCGCATGGCCGCAAGAGAAGAATGAACTTACCGGGTAGTAGACCCCCTGAGGGGGCAAAAAGAAACTTGAACCCCACAGTTTGGCAGCGTACACCTCACTATCACTTAAAACCATTCACGGTTGCATACAGTCTGGGCAGAAGCAGTTCTTGTTAGAGCTTTCTTCAACAGATCTACACGCACAACGTTTAGCTTCTTCACGATCAATGAGCCAAGCTGCAAAGCCGTCAGCTCCCCCACTCCTTTGTGCGTCACCAGTGTTGCCCCACTACACCTCATAAATTTCCCTATCATTTTGTATGTTTCTTATTTTTACTCTGAATCCAGTGAAGAACTTAAAGAAATATTATTTTTATTTTCTCATTTTTATAAAATAACAGATAGTTTACCTGAAATATGACATGAGATTTAAATACTTTAAAAAAAAACCATTAGTATACACTCTGACGGTGAATCGTTGAACTAAACCTCTCCCGCTTTAACTGAGTCATTTTAATTTTAAAGCCTTGAAGACCGCATTAAACTGACAAATCATGATCATACCATGCATTTGAACATCATATACTCAAATTTAATTAAAATAATTTAATATTAATATGAAATATTAGTATTTAGGTGTAATCAATAATACAAAAAGTAATTAACATCATTTAAATAATGGATGGTCATATTGTATTCTTGATATTCCGAAAAAATTAAGAAATGGCATTTGTAAACGCAAATATAACTTCCTTTAATCAAAAATTTAATTTTAATTTATTGGGAACTAATAAGTGATTTCCAAACTAAAAATATTCTAATAGGCGATTTAAAAAAAAAAAAAAATCCATATACGTATTCATCAAGGGCGGTAAAATATGTTATATGAATTATCCAACAGAGCTTGTTCTCAGTCTCCATTGCGTTTCATTTCGTCACGATATAAGATCCGTTGTTTACCTTTTATTCAATTTACTGCTAGGATTTGATTTGTTGTATTCAACTGTAACCATTGCTCTTACTAGCTTAATAATATTTTCACAAGTATTAATTGATCAATATTATCATAAAAATGTATATATGTTTTGATCTATTTTTCCGAAATATGCTGTGAAGTCTAAATTGTTGGAATACTAGATTTTATTTAACATCCTAAGTGTGGAGATCTACACACCTTCCATATATATTCACTAAATGCATAAACAGTAGTGAATTTCAACAAGAAATCTTGATCTTAATTTAATTACACACATGTAAGATAAACTTAAAAGAATTTGGAACAGAATAACCGTTCATTAATGGTCGTTGCAACAATATCAGCTGAGCACAGTGTTTCGACTCAAAGATTTTAAAAATTACCAAAAAGATTTTTAAAAAATCTTCATAAAATAAACTAACATGTCAAAGAACAAAATGTTACATTTGTGGCAGCAAAGTCGAAAATTTATTTCCGAGTGAGGTCCAAAATTTTAACAGTTTAACCCTCTTTTTGACCTGCCTCTGGTAATAGTCAGCATTTCTCTGTAGTCGTAAATATTGGTTGGCCTCATGTTTTTGGGTCGCTGAACAAAAACTCAGGCTTTCCGACAGAAATTTTGCCTGGAAACATTTTTTATGTCTTCAAACATGTCAACGCTTTGACCAGGTTTTTATTTCAGCTTCAAATTGTAATGTTTTTTTCGAGAAGGCTACTACATAGGCGCAGACTTAAGATTTTAATTAGGAGGGGGGCGATGATAAAAAAATAAAACAAAATATGGCACAAGTTTTTATAACGTGTAAAAAGTCAACATAATCATTGTGAAACGAACAAATATAATATTGGATATTTAAAATTTATTTGTTTGAGTAATTTGTTTGTATGGCTTTTATTTTACTTAATTCATTTACTTGAAAATATCATTAATAAATACAATTGAATATAGCATTTTCAAGTTCTTTTCAACCCTTTCCAAGTCAAATTCAACCTTTTCCAAATCAAATGAAACTTTTTCCAAGTCAAATTCAAGCTTTTCAATTTCAAATTAAACCTTTTCCGATTCAAATTCAACCTTATTCCACTATAGCCGTCTTTCATCATTCCTCTATTTGTTGAGTAATTTGTAATATTATATCTCAGTTTTTCTCAGAGTTGAGTAAAAGTCGTTGTTTTTTTTATCGCAGTTTTCGGACTTGTCCAGATTATTACAGTGTACGAAAAATTTCTCGACAAAAAATGTGATGTTTTTTAATTTCTTTAAATTTAATTAATGTTTTCGTTATTATGCTCCATTTTGGATTTTCTAGCAAAAAAACAAAACAAAAATCTTAAAAATCCATGATTTTGTGGCTGCCAAATGTCCTCCTGAGGTGACCCGAATTACCTTTTTTTTGGTGTTTACATATTTACAGCCATATTTAAAAGTCTTAAAAATAAAATTTCCGTTTCAATCCTCAACTAACAAACAAAATATTTTTTTTAACCAGCAGAATTTTAATGGCTTTTTCTGTTCATTTTACTTTGAATAACAAATACTTTCGTAATACACAAACCTTCACCTTCTGAGTACTGCTTTTAGTCCCTGGTTCCAAGGTTAAAGAGTCCTCCATTGCTGGAGCTTGCAAGTGAGAAAATACAATATTTTCTGCTAAACCAATAACATGTAACTTCATTTCTTCGGGTGCATGAGTACGTTTCTTCAGACTTTCTTTGCTTAAATTTTAATGTACAACCATGAGAGCGCCTTTGTTACTGCCATGACAATGGATGCTCTGATTACTATGAAGTAGTTTGTTAATGGTGAAGTAACAATTTATAAATATTTCTCTTTTAAATATTTTTTCTAAATATTAAAAAAAAATACTAAAATATTTGAAAAAAAATCGTACCACATATTACCAACGAGAGTTAATAACAGGGAAGCAAAACCAATCACGACTGGCAACAAACAACCTTCCGATGCTCAACGAAAGAAAATCCTCTTAAATATCTTGTCAAAATCATCTACTCATATTTTCCCATTCGTCTTCATGGTTATACAACAGAACAAGATTTTAATTATATGAATTCATAGTCGATTGGTTAACAATATTAACAATGCCCAGAGGTGTCCATCGCCCCTTCCTCACGAGTGATGCCGCACGTCTCCCTCGCTAGAAAACTTATTTCTCTCCTTCTTAAAAACGGTTCATATAAAAATAAAATAATAAAAATTAAAATTGATTTTTTCCTTTGTTTCTTAGTTTGCAAGTTCTCCTCAATTGAAACCTCAAAGAAAGCATATCTCACTCCAAAAATTCATCAACCTTTAAATATGTGCATCCAAATTCAAAAATGTGTGCCCCCTCAAAAATTTAGACGGTGCAAGTTGCGTCTTGCAACTCCTCTCTGGTCACCACTAGCGGATCCAGAATTTAATTTTGGGGGGGGGGCTTCAGTCCGGAAGCTTTTTTTTTCATAAAAATAACGATATTTACTTTGGAAAAACAGAAAGAAACTAACTACCTATATGAAATGGTGTTTAAGTGATTCCTTAAGACCTTTTAAATATAATTACACCAACAATAATACTTTAAGAGGTATTTTTTAATTATTTTTTTCCATAAAACGTGGTTATATTTTACCATTTTGGGGGGGAGGGGCTTCAGCCCGAAAGCCCCTCCCCCCCCGTAGATCCGCCCGTGCTGGTCACCTCTGACAATTCCGTACTAGCAAGCAAGATCCTTGCTCTGAGGGTAAAAAAACTCATGTATGACTTTGTTTAAGAAAAATAATTTTATTTCAGTTAACTTAATTTTCTAAATCTTAATAATTTAGTCATTTAACTACTATTTCAATAATTTTTGGAATTCCCTTCCTATCAAAATCCGACATTCTTTATCCCTATCTACATTCAAAACCCTCCTATTCCAATTCCTGTTCCAAAAACAGTCAGATACTAGCTAACCTTTTATGTAAAATTATTATTTATAATAATATATTCACATATAGCTCATAACTTAAATACTTATTATAGATTCGACTTTCTTTCTTTTTTCAACAGAAACACAGATTTTACTGTTAAGAAGAATTTACATTTTTTTTTTTCTAAAAGGGTTTATTTATATTTTACCATTGTACATAGTTTTAAGTATCTTAGTATGGTTTCGAGAGTTTTGTATATAGATTATTTTATTTTATTTTGTATATAGTGTGTATAACTAATATATATATATATATTTTTACTGATCTATCTTTATGTTTACTTTTTATGTTTGTTTTTATCTGGCCAGATATAAAATTTTAATTTCTGTACTTTTTTGTTATTCTGAAGGGACTTCGTCCCAGAATAAAATTATTTTCTATTCTATTCTAAATAATTACAATAGTAAAATGATTTATTTTAGCTGTAAGTATTTATTTTAATAAATTATTTAAGCCCTGTTCTCGTTAAGTTCAGCAACTTGTTATATATCATCTTTTATCTGTTTGTAAATATGACATGGATGGTGGGTGACCTTATTATCTAACCTTTAAGTATGAAAGATTGTGTAATTTAACAATTCCATGCCTTCTCCCCGCAATATATAACAAAACAGAAAACTTATCTTTACAACCAATTAAACTTAATAAAGGATACTAACAACCTTTAGTTATCGTATTGTTGGGTTTATTACATATTTCATATAATTAAATAACTGTAAAAAAACAATCAGACACTATCTCTAAAGTTCAGTCACCATCACGGCAAATAAAAGAACAAGATCACACCACTCCATGAAACCTATAACCTATCACCTATATATATATATGAACCCTTATAATAATAAGATAACTACGGTATATAGTATCCTTTGTTTGTTAAGTTTAAAGGGTTGTGACCTATTGTGTTTGGATGTCTTGTAATGATGCCATCTTGTTTTTTTTCTATCCTGATGATGCCTAAATTGGTGGAACGTTGACGGATTATTTTATTTTTGACGAGCATTTTAGAGACACAAGAGTGTGTGGTTTGAATTTTCTAATTATAATTTAACATCTAATTTCTGTCTCTTGGTGAGTTATTACTCGTTTATGTTAAAATTAAGTAACATTAAAAACAAAAAAACAGATAGGTGAGTCAGATATTGATAGGGGTGGGCTTTCCATACCAATATTATATGAAATTGTATGGTTCCAAACAGGGGTGCCTATATCACTGGGGGGGGGGGGTGATGGCGCATGCTCCCTCCCCCTTCTGGTACTTGTGGTATCACTCCTAAAAATATTGGACCGAACGATATTGAATATGATTGTCCTATCAAATACTATGATAGCAGTTCGACATGAGTCAAACACAGCACATTAGTCCAGAGAATCTTTGCAATAAACTAACCATTAGTCGATGAAAAATACGGACAAGCCATCAAATTACGGTTGTAATCAGCAAACATATTATTATTAGGAAAAGCTTCATTATACATCATAATAGAGACCATAAAAAAATGCGTTA